ATTGATTCAGAAAATACATAATCACTTCATTAATATTACCATTCAAAACAATAATGTTTAAAAACAAGTAGCAATTAACAGAAAATAAAATGCAAATGATAAAAGCGCCCAAAGACTGCCAATGTTGAGGATGTCTGCCTGTCTGGACCACTGGCTTTTGGATATGACCCTTGAAATCTTCGAGCTTAGACAGCTGAGAGGTTGACATGGACAACCAAACTCCCTTCTGGAAAAGATATATACCCTTTGTCAATCAATTGTTGCCCCTTGGTCTGGAAGGCTTTGCAATCTTTGATTGCGTGCCCCATGGATCCTCCATGATATCCACATTGAACATGGGGATTGTACCCAGGAGGGTAAGGTTCTGGCACTAAATCCTGTGTACTTCTCGAAGTTGGGTACCTTGAATTTTGGAGAAATCACTAGGTCTGGCACTAGACACATATCAGGAGCATCGAGGCCGAGCATATCAGGCATTTTCATAGCTTGAAGTATCTTCTCAAGGGCACGGAGCTTTTCTTCCATGAGATCAGTCAGTGGCATCCTCTAGGGTCGAGTAGGAACGTTTACTTGTGGAGGATGGTCATTCGGCGGAAGATTGTACAGTGGATTATTTGTCACAATGAATCCTGGTGGGGACTCAACATTCTGGCAATTGTTCTCTAACATAGCTACTTCAACTTGCTTCATCTGACTAGCCTTTCAAGGTATCCACGTTCCTCTTGCTTCAAATGTTTCACAGCTCTTACAAGTTCAGTATGAGTGTCGGGAAATCCACTACGAGTTATGAACAGAGGATGGGTAAGCTCTTGGTATTTGGTTAGGGAAGAAAATGCAAAATGATGCAGAGATGCTTATGCAAATGCAATGTTATGAGTGCACACGAGAACAGTAAGGATTAAAGTAACAGATCCTGCAAGGCAACAACAACAAGATATCTCTCACCACGGGTGGGAAATCTATTGGTTTATAAGAGGGTATCCCAAAGGCTTTAAACAAAGTCCTATGCACTAACCCTCAAGAGTTTTCCATCATAGTGATGATTCGTAAGACGGTAATCCTTTCAAAGGATGAACATAGAATTATGTTTTAGTAACCTTCAGAATAAGGTTCTATAAAAGGTCCTCAGAGTCACAGACTCCCAGGTCGAAAATAAAGATGCCATTATGACTACTCGTAAGACATAATCATCCCAAAGGGGTCTCATCTGAGTGGTGGAAGTCAAACCAACTCAACGAGTCCTAAGTCTCGCAAATCAGAAAGAATCCACCTCCTAATCTTAGTGTATATTGGAAATCTCGGGTAGAAAGCTTTTATCCTCACAAACCATCCCAATAAACCCAACAGGTAAAAGGAACACAGCATAAATAACAAAAGCAAATAAAACACAAATGCGACAAACAAACTAGGCTCAGCTTCCTAGGAGTCTCCAGCAGAGTCACCAGCTGTCGCTACTCGAAAAATGCAATGACGGGGAGGCGAAAAGATAGACAGAAGAGTCACCGCCGAACTTTATTTATCCCATGAGGGGAAGGGAAAACATTGAGAAAACCCTAAGAAAGGAACGGATAAGATGGTCTCATGACCAAAGAATGGGTTCGGAAGCCGGTTATGCGAAGGGAAGGTATTAGAACCCCTCGCATCCATCATACTCGATGGGAACCATTTCTTTGTCGATGTGTGAAGGTATCTGCTAAAAGACTATTGCTATAAAGAGTGTTCCACGGGATAAAGAGGGAAAAGAAAGATAACGGGGGAAGAAAGGACCCGGTAGGACTTTGCGGTCCTAGGCCTACGTATTCTCAATAGATATGAGAAAGTCAAAGTCAACGTAGTTCGGGGAACTACGGGTAGAAAGATAGAAGTGTGCTCAGCAAGGATTGTGGCCCTTGTGCCTATGTATCTTTACTTAAAAGTAGTAAAGAATCAGAGCAGTCATAGTTCGCCTTACTACAGGTAAAGAAAAAAGGGTGTGCTCGCCAAGAAATCGTCATCTTGTGCCTATGTATTCTCATCTGGCATGAGAAATCAGAGCAACGTAGTTCGTGATACGGTTAACCGGTGTTTTTGTAGATGATGTTAACGTAGCGCATTCTAGCAATTTAGGTGTATTGATGCTCGCTCGTCGGAGACTTAGGCATTACCTGTTTGCAGTAGAACGGGCGTGACATATCCTTTTTGAAAGATTAATTTTTGCCATCAAGGCAAGATGTCACATTTGATTTGTGGAAGTTGTTTTTTAAGGGTGAAATAGATCCTCGAATAGTAACCTCTTGCGGGTAGTACCCAATTCTTTATCTCAAAAGTATTATTGTGAAAAGGTGTGGCGAATATAAGCGTGTCTTCGTATTGAAAGACGAGTATCGAGACACACACTCTACAGTTAGTATCCTGACATTCGAAAAGGAGAAGTCTACACTCAATCCTCTCTCTTTAGTTCAATACAAAGAGAACTTTATTCTCTTATTAAAAATGTTTTTAATCTTCAATGGTAAGTGTTTTACGACAGTGAACTCTAACGGTAATGTCAAGTACTCGAAATAGAAGAAGGCCAACGCCTAACCACTCCGTGACCATTCAAGTTTTATGTTGTGAAAAGAGTTTGAAAATGCACTGGTTACGGGACCGAGGTTTTACGAGAAAAGGTTTCGAAAAGAAGTTTTGAAAAGAGAGGTGGCGAATATAGTCGTGTCTTCATATTGAAAGACGAGTATCGAGACCACACACTCTACAGTGAGTATCCTGAGACTCGGAGAGGAAGAAGTCTACATTCAATCCTCTCTCTTTAGTTCAATACAAAGAGAACTTCATTTTCTTATTAAAACGTTTTTGATCTTTAATGGTAAGTGCTTTGCGACAGTGAACCCTAACGGTAATGTCAAGCACTCGGGATAGGAGAAGGTCTACGCCTAACCACTCCACAACCATTCAAGTTTTATTGTAAAAAAAGTTTGAAAATGCACTCGGTACGGGATCGAGTTTTTAGAAGAAAAGTTGTAAAACAAGAAATGGTGAATTGGTTTGAAAATTGGTTGAGAAAATCCACTTGACGTTGGATCAAGGGTTCGACTTGTATTTACGTGCAAAAACATGGTGAAAGTGGGTTTGAAAATAGTTCGATGATGAATCGAGAATTACTTCGAAAATGGATATTCTAGTCCCCGGGGGTGCTCCTAGACGTTAAATCGTAATCAAAGAAATACAAAATACGTATATCAGAAATGGGAGAGGGGTACATGCAAATTACACGGTATTACACGAAATAAAAAGTCTCATTGTCAGGTAGCCCAAGAGAAAGTCGTGTGTGTGCAATGTGTCCTAAGCTACGCCTTTAAGGGAAAGTTGGGCACAACTCCATGCTTGGGTTCCTGAAAATGTCCAAAGGTCCGTCACTCGGACAAACAAACAATAGTCCACCAATTTGGGATTTTATGGTTTCAATATTTATTAATTGTTTTGAAAGAATGTACATGATGAAGAGATGAATATATATAGGATAACAATATATAGGTTATATAATAATATGTACAAAAATATATCAAGAGAAATATTGACAAGTATATGGACTAAAAAATAAAGCAGTGTATATTTGACAGAAAATAAAACAGTCGTATATTTGACGGAAAGTAAAGTTAGTGGTTAGTTTGTTAGTGAATTGAATCGGGACAAATGTAACGCTAAACCGTCGTAGCTCGACTTTTGATGGAAGTCGGACTAGAGGAGGTCGTGTAGATTGATATATGTGCGAGAGCAACATAGAGAAATGATATTGAGGATCATTCTCCGACTTAATCGTGTCGCACGGACCAGAAAGTGGGATCTCTTCTTAATTGCAAACATTATATCGATTAATCGAAGGTAGTCTATCACTATCCCAAAGTAAAGAAAATGACCAAAATGGTCATTTTCCATAGGTTTGAAATCGAGAAGGTTTTCGACTTCGATAAATCGACACTTACGAATAAAAGACTTCTTAGATCGAGGAAATCTTAAATGAAAACCGAAATGAAGAAGAAATGAGGAGAGAAAGAAAGTGGTCTCGGATCCAACATTATTTATCAATAGTTTGACTAGTAATGATTTACGGAAGTCTCCTCATCGATCCGAAAAGTGAAGAAAAATGAAATTGAAATTAGTTTGAGAAAACATATATTTAAAGTTAAAACCTAACACTTAGAAAGGAAAAATATTGAAAAATTTAAGAACTAATTTATAGAAATATATTAACAATTCTTAAAAACTAAAAAACCTAATTTATAAAAACATATTAACAATTCTTGAAACTAGTTAGAAAATATTTATAAAAACAATTCTAAGAAAACAAATTACAAAAATATGTTTTCAAATCTAAAAACTATATTATATAAAAAAATCTAAAAAAATATAATTTGTAGCATATACATTCTAAAAACTAATTTATTAAAAAAAATCATATTAAAAAAAATCAGAAAAGGGGGGTGAAGATTGGGAAAGAGAGTATGTTAACATGAAAGAGGAGTATATGGGCTCGAGGCACATCACCTTCCAAAAGAATGAAACCCGGTGGCAGGGAAAGACAAAAGAAGACAAAAAAAATTATAAGCAAAACCATGGTCATGGCCCGGTCCATCCAATGTTCACTTATCCTAATCTCATCTCCAAAATCCAAGATACACTGTCAGAAATTATTTTTATTTTATTTTTTTAAAACAAGAACAACTCTGAAACAAACAAAAATTAAAAATGAAATATCTTCTTTCATTATCACGGATTATCAAAGTGACATACACACTTTAGAAAACAAAAACCATAGAAATATCTTTGCTCAGAGGATACTTTCCTCATCATTGCGTCTCATCGCCAAACTGAAAAGGAAAAAAGACCAATTAAAATTGAAAACAAAATGAACAACCTCCGACTCTGCCAATCCTATATCTTCTCTCGCCCAATCTCTCGATAACTTGACTGAACACAACATACTTCCCATCGAGCCACTCAGTCTTGGTAGTGCAGATGAAAAACTAAGGTCCATTGGTTCCGGGACTGACGCTCTCCATGGATAAGGTTCCTGGACCGGCGTGCTCCTTGATGAAGTTCTCGTCAGCGAACTTGGAACCGTAGATCGATTCTCCTCCGGTGTTGTTTCCGGCGGTGAAGTCACCTCCCTGACACATAAAGTCAGGGATCACACGATGGAAGGAGGATCCCTTGAAGTGGAGTGAGTTACTGCTGCGACCGACTCCTTTCTCGCTGGAGCAGAGAGCACAGAAATTCTCAGTGGTTTTGGGAGTAACATCGGTGAAGAGCTCGAAGATGATGCATCCAGTAGGTTGGTCACTGACAGTCATATCGAAGAAAACTTTAGGGTTTGCCATGGTTCAGGGTTAGAGAAGTGATTGAATCATAGTAATGGAAAAGGGTTAGGGTTTAATGAAAGAGAAAGTTGGAGGAAGAAGATGAATGGCGGGAGATGGTGTTTGTTTGTGTTGATAAAGTACTGAAGTGAATGGGTTTCGCGGAGGATGTTGAACGCCAGGAGAAGAAGAAAATCCTAAAGGTTGAAGTTAAGAGAGTGGTGTTTCACAGTTGACGGTTGGAAGAAGAAGGGGATTTGGGGATTTCGTTGTGGTTTGGCTTTTTTTGAAGAAGAGGAAGGAGAACGGCGAGTTTGTTGAAGGTGAAATTTGGGTTGTTGTTTGAAGTTGGTGAAGAAGGTGTGGAGGAAAATGGGTTTCACGGCTAGAAGCTAGGGTTTTCCTAGATTGAGGTTGACGAATGAATAGTGAAAGGGGGCTAGGGTTCCAAATGAAGAAGACAAACAGTGTTTTTATACGTGTCACTCTTTATGTTTTTTTTCTTTTTAGTTAATTTGTTTCCTTTTAATTTAATAATAAACCTAATTTCTAATCTATTAATGTAAATAAAAATTCTGACTAAGATCTAATCTAAATTAAATAAAAAAATCTAACCTAATTATAATAATATTTCTAACTTAATTCCTAATTAATTATCTAATTCTATTTCTAATTCTAATTAATAAAAGAAACTAATTCTATTTTCTAAATTAAATTCTAAATCTAAAATCTATCTAAATCTTAATCTAATTTTAATAAAATCCTAACTTCTAATTCAAAACTATTTCTAAATTCTAAATAAAATCTTAAATAAAACTCTATTCTAATTTCTAATAAAAATTAAAATTCTAATTAAGTCTATTTTCTAAACTAATCAATTAAAAACTCTAAATCTAGACTATTCTATTAAAAATTCTAATTAATAATCTAAACTAATTTTCTAAATAAAATTCTAATAAAAATTCTATTCTAATAAGAAAAATCTAATTCTAATTTCTAAATTAAAACTAAAATTCTAATTAACTTCTAAATCCCTTTTTTTGTATTTTCTCTTTTAAATCAATTCTAGTTCTATTTCTAATCTAAACTAATTAAAAACTAATTAATTCTAAAACTAAAACTTACTATTATATTAACAAATTATAAACATGAAATTATAAAGCAAAAATAAAATTAAATCACAAAATGCCACGAAAATAAAAACGGAAAAAGTGGCGAACACCGAAACGTATCAAAATTATCAGCACAGACTAAACCACCAGGAAGAGAACAACTTTCGCTCGATTTCGACATGGAACTTAACATTTGAACTGGTTTAAATCGTCTAAAATACAAGCAAAGCGGTTGTAATTCCGATAAATTCATTCCGGGTGATAACACAGACAACATGCGAGAAATGATCAACCTAGATGAATGCGAAGCAAAAGGCAGTCAAAGTTAATAACGCGAGGGCAAATTTTGGTGTGCAACAAAATGGATCAATAAATGGATTTGAAAATGCATAAAATATATAAAGATGGGTTTCTAATTATGAAAAAAAATGAAAAATGAATTGAAAATAAAAAGGTATTGATAATTTGTTTAGACAACATGGTTTTTTATGGAAGGAAAATGGACAAGAAGGGATTATGAACTAGACTTGGTTTTGAAATGTGAATAAAAAGTGGACTTAGAATAATAGGTCGACTGAATAAAATTTGAAATGAATAACAAATTTATAATAAAAATGGATAAATGAATCAAAACTCGGATAGAAAATGGTTTTGGATATCTGAATTTGATGATCCTGAATAATCCTCCACTAATATCTTCCAACAACCTTTGATACAATAGGTATAACTACCACTAAACAACCATCTGAATGAAACAACCTCTGAATCTCCGATCAATATAATCTTGAATCACTTTGAATCTGTCTGAATAAATCTCCAGAAAAATAAATCCACAGATAAACAAAATTGAACCTATGATTAAGATGCTCTTGACTTTTAAACCAAACTCTTCAGGAACCAATACTTGATAACCTACACACATGACAACTTGAATTTGGATCCACACCACTGTGAAAATAAGCCAATGGTACATATAACTTGCAACTGAAGAAATTTCTTGATGGTTTGATCAAAATTAGGTCAAACTTCCATCTGATCTTGATCGTGACTGAACAACCACACTTGAATTGGAACTATGCCATCGTCCCTGATAAACCTGAGCTCCTATCCATGATGAGAGGCAAACCATAACCTTGAACATAAGCTTGCCAACAATTTTGAACCAAGGAAGTGATGAAACCCTAGGCCCCTGATGCCTGACAACTCTTGAAGAATGTAAGCTTGATACTTGATGATATGACTTAGAGAAACTCCTGATCCTATGTCTTAGAAGACCAATGTAAAGTATGATTATGAGTTATGATTTAATGATGATGCAAATGAACGTGAAGCAAAACCCAGTTAAGGTTAGAAAAAGAGAGGCCAAAAGTTGGGGTATTACAGCTACTAAGCAATAAATTTGCAAAGTCGATACTTATACAGTGGATACTACTGCTACAATAGTTCGGCATGGAGATATGCGATTAAAAGGGAACAAAAAGTGTAGTAGCGGATCACTTGTCCAGGATTAACAATGAGAAAACTGAAGAGTTGTCTATAAATAACTACTTCCCTTATGATAAGTTGATAGCATTTTTATGAACTGAGGCACCTCGATGCGCTCATTTAGAAGATTACCTCGATCAAGGCAGCCTAACATAGTAACGAAATTGGAGGAGGCAATATCATTAGCTAATTCTACCATTCTATGGTAAATCGATTTCATTAACTACCTTGCGATTGAAGTCATACCTCCAGATCTTACCTATCAGTAAAATAAAAATTTCTTCCATCACCTCAAGCATTATTATTGGGATGATCATCTCCTATTCAAGATAGGCGTTGACGGTATCTTCTGCCGATGTGTCCTCAATGAAGAAATAAAGAGTGTCATCACTCATTGTCGCGCCTCTCCCTATTAAGGGCATATGAGTATATCCAAAACTACAACTAAAATTCTTCAGGTTGGCCTTCATTGGCATACCATTTTTAGATATGTCCATAATTTCACCACAGAGTGTGATCGATGCCAGTGCATTGGGAATATTTTGAGACGAGATGAAATTCCATTGAAAAACATCTTGGAAGTGGAAATCTTTGATGTTTGGGGAATATATTTTATGGCTCCTTTTCCATCTTCGATGGAAAACAAATTCATTCTAGATGTTGTCGAATATGTGTCGAAGTGGATTATGGTGATTGCTTCTCCCACTAATGAAGCTCTATTAGTGACAGAGATGTTAAAAAAATGTCATATTTATAAGATTCGGTGTCCTTAGACTTGTTATAACGGATGGTGGGTCTCACTTCATATCAAAAGTAATTAAAAACTTGTTAAACAAATATGGAGTAGGGCACAAAGTTGCTACCCCTTATCATCCCAAACAAGTGGGCAAGTGCAAATATCTAACAGAGAGATGAAGCAAATCCTTGAGAAAATAGTTTTTGCCTCAAGAAAGGATTGGTCAGTAAAGCTGAATGATGCACTTTGGGCTTATAGGACCGCTTACAAAACACATATAGAAACCACACCCTTTAAAATTTTCTATGGGAAATCTTACCAACTTCTGATGGAGCTAGAGCATAAAACCTATTGGGCCATCAAGGCTCTAAATATGTACTACATAATTTCTAGAGGTAAGAGGATTTTGGATTTAAAAGAATTAAAAGAATCAAGGTTGGATGCGTATGAGAATGCCTCAATTTACAAAGAAAAAACCAAGAACTGGCATGACAGGTGCACCGTAAGGAGAAAATTCAATAAGGGAGAACTTGTGTTACTCTTTAACTCAGGATCTTTTAGGGTAACCAGAGTGAGTGAATTAGGTGCCGTAGAAGTACAAAGTAAGTCCATTGGGAAGTTCCTGGTAATTGGAAAAAGGTTGAAACATTATCATGCAATATATATCATTATAGCACAATGTGTTACTTACGCCTTAGAAGTTCCCCTTGAGGGATGAGCCTTAATGAGTCAAGCTACTGACGTAAAATGAAATGTTGCGTGGGAGGAAACCCACATGTTTTTAGTTTTAGTCATTAGGTCATGAATAATTGAGCTAGATTAATCATAATGGAGAGCTGGAGAATATTTCCCTTCATCTGACAAGCAAACTTGAGAAAAGAGACAAAAAAGGCTTAGCGGGGATCACATGTATCCAAGGAGGTGTGACGGGTGTCAGGCATTTTAAAAATAAAATTTTGACCCATCGAATGCTAACGGATAAGCCATCAGCTTGGCTGACGCCCGTCAGAGTTTTCAAGACTGTGTTTGGCTAAGCCATTTCGACAGCTTCTTTATTTAATCAATTTATATCATTTTTAAAGTTAAATTCTTATTCTCTCTCACCCCGCTTAAAAAAAACACTCTAACCATCCCCCATTTTTTTCCTCCTACACCTCAAATAAATCCTTCTTCGTCTCCGCAAAAACAACCAACACCTCCATTAGAGCTTAAACACTAACCTCCATTTTCTTTTCCAAATAAAAAACAAAAACAATATTCACCAACTCAAACCTTCCTAGAACACATTTCTACATTAAAAAAATCCATACTTTCCACTATTTACTTCACTACTAAAATTTAGGTCTCATCACTACATGCCCTCAAACCCCAAGTTCTTTCATCGTGCCTCAAAGAATGCATAAATTATACTACATGGAAATTGATTTCAAGAATTACGATCAGCAAAAGTGCTTTGAAGTACTGGTTTAGAGGACTATGATCCTGACAAAGTATCTAGATGACTCTTGCCTTAGAACGTTAGGCTTTTTGACAGTATGTTTTTCATGTTCAGTAGAATAGGCTAGGAACATTTCTTTACCTTGTGTAACCCAACCTATGAGAGACTCACACTTGAGTTTCTCAGCTAATTGAATTATCACCAGAAGGCAAACCAAGGTAAGGGCAGAGTTATATTTAGGTTGTTTGGA